AACTTCCAACCCCCCTGCTGTAGGTGGAGACACCTCTCTCTAGACCAGGTTGCTCAATGCCCCATCCAGCCTGGCCTTGAACACCTCCAGGAAGGGGGCATTCACAGCATCACTAGGCAATGTGTTCCATTCTCTCACCACCCTCACAGTAAAGAGTTTCTTCCTAACATCTATTCTAAACCTACCCCCTTCCAGTTTCAAACCATTTCTCTTCATGCTGTTTCTACATGCCTTTATAAAAAGTCTCTCCTCAGCTTTCCTGTAGGCTCCCTTCAGTTACTGGAAGGCTGCTACAAGGTCACCTCAGAGCCCTTTCTTCTCTAGGCTGAAAAGGCCCACTCTCTCAGCCTGTCCACATGAGGAGGCTGGGGGGAAGAGGGTGCTCCAGCCTTCTGATCTTCTTCATGATTCTACTCTAGACCTCTTCCAACAGCTCAATATCCTTCCTGTATCGGGGACTCCAGAACTGGACACAGTACTCCAGGTGGGGTCTCACAAGAGCAGAATAGAGGAGCAGAATCACTGCCTCTACCTGCCAGTCACACTTCTCTCAGTGCAACCCAGGATACAGCCAGCCTTCTGAGCTGCAAGCACACATTGGAAGCTCATGTTTAATCTTTCATCAACAAACAAACACCCCCAAATTCTTCTGCTGCTTTCAAGGAATTCTCCATCCAGGTACTTGAATACTAACCAGGTTTCTTAGGCGATCCTTCCCTCCAGGGCTCTATATCATTTCACCCTAACCAAGCAGCTCCCTGAAGAATTTGGATTCTGCTCTCCTAAAGTCCAGAGAACCAAGTTTGCTACCAGCAAGCTGGCATCCTGACCTGTATCAGAAACAGTATGGTGAACAGGACTAGGGAAGTAACCCCACCCCTGTATTCAGCACTGGTAGGGCCACAGCCCCTAAGTACTGCATTCAGTACAGAAAGGACATTGAGGTGCTGGAGCAGGTCCAAAGAAGGGCAATAAGGCTTGTGAAAGGCTTAGAGAATATGCCCTATGAGGTGCAACTGAAGGAATTGAGGCTGTTTAGTCCGGGGAAGAGGCTTACTGATGTCTTCAAATACCCAAATGGTGATTGCAGTGAGATCCTAGTCTCTTCTCACTGCTGACAGGACAAGGGGAAACATCCTCAAGTTGCACCAGGAGAGGTTTAGGTTAGATAACAGGAAGAATGCCACAGAAACTGTTGTAAACTGGATTAGGCTCCCGGGGAAGTTGTTGAGTCACCATTACTGAATGTGTTTAAAAATCATTTGCATGTGGTGCGCAGGGACATGATTTTGCAGCAGGTTGTTAGAGTTAGGGTAGTATTGTTTGGTTGCAGTTGTACTTGATGATCTTGAAGGTCTTTTCTAACCTGAGCAATTTTCTGATTATCCCCAGGTGGAGTGGAGCTCCATAGACTCCAGCTGGTTGTTGACCCAGAGGGCAACACCTGCTCCCCTTCTCTGCCAGCCTTTCCAAAAGGTTTATACCAAACTATTCCTACGATGCAGTCATGAGAGCCATCCCATCGCATCTCAGTTATACCAATGATATCATAGCCCTGCAGACATGTGCACACCTGTAATTCTTCTTGCTTGTTACCATGTTCCATGCCTTTGAGTCAGAATCTCATTGAGACTGATATATCAATCAGAATTCCCTTATCCTGCACCTTGGTGCTGTCATACTGGCCTATGATTCAACTCCATGCCCAGGGCATCCATTATCATCATCATCAGCTTCAAAGGATTTGAGGATCCCTCCCCCAGCAAATCTATTTTAAAGCCCTTTTGATTAGATCAAAAATCTTGTTATTAAACATGTTCTTTCCCCTATCTGAGACGAACCCCATCCTCCTTCAGAAGACCATATTTCTCAAAACTAGTTCCATGGCAAACAGATGAAGCCCTGTTCATGACATCACTCCCTTAAACATTTATTGATTTTCTTAATTCTATTAACCCTTCCCTCCCCATTCTCCTAACTGGGAAGATTGATGAGAAGACTACCTGTGCTACTGAATACTTCACAGCTGCTCCCATCTCCTTTTAGCCCCTCTATATATTCTTCAGGTTGCTAATAGCTGTGTCACTAGTGCCTACGTGAAACAGCAGCAGCGGATAGTAGCCTGTGGGATGTAAAAGGTCTGGCAACCTGCGACACCCTTGACACAGGTCCTTGGCAAATAGCAGATCTCTCTAGATAGCTGGTCTAGATGACAAATGGGTGTCTCCGTATATCTCAAAAGAGAATCATGCACCACTATCACCCATTGCTGCTGCTTAGCTGTAGTAATCATTACATGACAGGGTGCGAGAAAGGTGCCAGGAGACTAAAAAGGATGAAAAAGTAACTGAATCTATGTCTTCCATCTGCTTAACAGATATCTAACCAGCCATGTCTGTTGAAAGTAAACTTACTTCATCATTCTTCATCACTTGGTGACACAAACTTTGCCCAAAAAAGACCTGCAGACCCAGAAGATATGTCAATGACAGAGTCACTGGACGTCAGGAGATCATCTAGTCCAATGCCACCAATAAAGCAAGTTCCCTATAGTAGATTACACAGGAAGATGTCCAGGTGGGTTTTGAATATCTCCAGAGAAGGAGATTCCACAATTTCTCTGAGCAGCTTATTCAAGTGCTCTGTCAACCTCATAGTAAAAATAAATAAATAAATTTCTCATGTTCAAATGTTTCTCATGTTCAAATGTAACTTCCCACGTTACTGTTTGTGACCATCAACCTTTATCTCCACTCACTTGACTCTTGCCCTTTACATATTTTTAAGTATTGAGAAGACTGAGAAGATCCCCTCAGTCTTCTCTATGGAAAGCACAGGTGGAGAGGCAGATTCAGTTATCACAGGTAATTTCCCCCTTATTTTTTTTTTTTTTAAATAATTCTAGAAGTAGAATATAGGCACTTTTTAGTTTACAAAGTTTAATTCTGTACAAAAAAAAATTGTAGAATCAATTGTATTATTCAACTGAATCAAAGAACCTACAAGCCATATGTTAGAGAAAGTAAAAATAGGATGAAATATACCTTAGGAAAATAGGCTAGACTCGCTCAGCATTTTACAATCCATGAACAATTTGTGCTGAAAGTGACAGAAAAAGTATACATTCACCCGTAAACCTCTCTCACCATGAGGTTTGAAAAAGCAACATCTTCTACCTCAAAATAACATATAAGGTCTAAAATAAATATATCTGACAGCTTAGCAACCAGAAATATTTATATGTACATGAGTCTAGTCTATCAAAATATCAAGGAAATTGTATATCATGAAAACATTTTATAGAAAAAGTGCTCCTTTGCAGGTTGTCATAATTATCCTTTATGGCAGAGTGGCAGCGTATTAGGTAACAAACAGCAAGCACTAAGTACCCGATCATCTTAAGCTAAAAAGATGTGCGAAGAGATACGTCTTGATTGATGCTGCCTATGCCACCAACCTTTTGCTAACATATTGAAATAGACTTTGCTAGATGGGAAGTCCTGGATCATCTAGTAGAAAGCCACTTCTGATGTGATAGAAGAGAGTAAGAATCAAGTACTCAATAACACTGGTATTTCTGATAGTCAGTTGCAGGCCAAGATTTAGTCATAGCAAGTGTTCTACTATAAATAAATAAATAAATAAATAAGTCTGTCTTGATTTTCATCAGAAATAAACTTCACAGTTTTGAAGAATGAAAAAACATCCTACAGGCTTGCCCTCATGACAAGCATGAATGTAGACTACCCATGTCGCCCAACACACAATGTATACTTGCTTGATTTTTTTGCAAGTCTTATAACTTCATTAAATCCCTTAGTAAATGGTAAACTTAATTATACATTGCATAAGCTGTGTTATGGAAGATGAAGTTCTCATTTAGAGCTTGGAGTATTTGTGTCTTGTTTTTTTTTTCCATCCTGGCTCTTATTAGCTTTAGAACACTGCCATTCACCGCACTTAGACATTATCACAATAATCTAAATTTTCACATAGTAAAAATATTTATTGCCCCCCTGCACAAAATATTTTGTCATTTGTTCAAAATCTCATTTAAATAAGAAATATGATCAACATTTAATCACTTTTTTAGAAAATGACATTCAGACATGCCAGGTTTTCAGTGAACTTACTCATACTGATTCTAATAAGCTGAACAACTTGTTTTGGCTGCAGCTGTCTTTTTTTCCATATGGAAGTGCTTCTCCTAGCTTTCTTCCAAATTATGTGGTTGAGAGGAGGATGTGGAGAGAAGTCCTGTGTTGTTTTTCATGGCACAAATTCATTCAGGGGGCTGAAACATGCAATATATTGCTTTCAGTAAGCCAGAACCCCTAGGGCATGTCTTGGCACTATGACAAACAAATCTTTACCTTAACAATCTGTGTGTAAATCCACAAAGTATTTAACAGATTTAAGAATACACACACTTTATGCTAGCACATGTTTGTACATACATATGCTGCACTATAGTCATTCCTCCAGCGCTGGGCACAAAGTACTTTCTCAGAGTTAGGAAGGATAACACTGGTGATACAAAGCAAAAACACAGATGAGCGCAATGAAAAGAAGAACTAACTTAACGGAAAGTAGAGGAGAGTTATTATCAAATAAAAGCGTATTTTTTTTTTTATTATTTACCTAATACAAGAGAAAAAGAAGTATTACCATTAAAAAATAAAAATAAAAATCCATAGAGTGAAGTTTCACAGGCAGGTCTTAAGTCTCCCACAGCTTAGCTACCACCTATGTATGTGGGTGTATATATATATATATATATATATATATATATACACACGTATAATCTTCTCACAGCTTCAAAAGCAAATTCTTGAAGACCCTTCCATGCCAGAGCAGCGATCTACCTTGTAACACTATTGTGCAATGGAAAGTGCAGCAATAATAGCAAGGCAGCAAATTCCCAGGCTGCAGCAAACAAGGACAAGCCCTAACACAGCAACATCCATAGATATAGAAACAAAAGAAGAAAATTCACTTACCCTTGGAAGGGCTCAGGTAGGCAGGGATCCCCAACAAGAGATACCCTAATCTCCACTGCCAACCCTTAAATGAGGTCTGGGAAGGGAGTGAATCATGCCTCCACCCCTTCCAGTCATTTAGGTGCACTGCACACACCTGAGCCCCTTTGTGTTGGCCCTGCCTTTCCACCAGGTGCTCAATCACTGATTCAAGCCATGACTTGGCATTTCCACTACACGCTTGGTCATTTATTTTTATTAAATTCATTTCTGACAGCTAAGGAATGGCCACACAAGCAGCAGCAGTAGCAAAATGATTTAGATTTCACCACATGAACGGATATGATGGCTGAAGATCAAACTCTGGCAGAAGCACCATCTGGTTTGATCTTCTTGTGTGACTCAGCTGCAGAAAAGAATGGTCAAAGGACTCAAATGGAAGTAACATTAGAGATGAAAAACATGTTTTCCAGTGAATTTTATGCTTCCATAGTTGGGCAGAGATTTTTTTCATGATTTTATTCAGATTTCAGATTCAGAATTCAGATTTTATATTGTACAGGAACTTAAAATCACCAGTTCTAATTAGTCGTGGGTCTGTTTATTTGATCTGTCTTTAGCAGCTAATGTACTGAGGAAAAATACCTTAAGAGAAGATATGTCCAACTGGTTATGCACTCAGCTAAAGAGCACAGTGCTCGTTTTTCCTCTGACCATGCATCCAGCACACTGGTCTTTCCTTCACACAGACTCACCACATAGTTGAGAAGTTAGTCAGAAAATGTGCACTAGTAAAAATGCATTGTGAAACAGTTTTCTGAGGCCTATAAGACATTTGCTGTAACATCAGAAGAAGAAATGGAGATGAGTTGATAAGGCAAAAGATAAAAATTTGCTTCTATAGCCAGAATGAAATACAAGATTTCTCTGTCTGCTTTCTGATCTCTTCTTTAGATTTTGAATTATCACCTGGCACACTACAGGGAGTACAGTAAGCATTTAAGTGAAGAATGAGATATTCTTGATAAAGCCAATCTCAAAAAGAGTAAATCACAAAATCAAAAAATTATTTGTGTAGGAAGAGATCATTAAAGGTTCTCTAGTCCAACTCCACTGCAATGAACAGGGACACCTACAGCTAGATCAGGTTGCTCAGAGCCCAGTCCGTTCTAGTCTTGGATGTCTCCAGGGATGGGTCATCCACCAACACTATGGTAATCTGTTCACTTCACCACCCCTACTGTAAAACAACTTTTTTCTTTACATCCAGTCTATATATCCCCTCTTTTAGTTTGAAATAATTTCCCTTTGTCCAGTCATGACAGACCCACCTATTTAGCCTGCCTCCTTCTTCCTTATAGCCCCCCTTTAGACACTGGAAGATCACTACCAGGTCTTCCTAGAGCATTCTCTTCAAGATGAACAGCCCCTGCTTTCTCAGCCTCATAGGGAAGGTGTTCCATTCCTTGGATCATTTCAGTGGCCCTCCTCTGTACACACTCCAACAGATAAATGTGTATCTTGTACTGAGGATTCCACATCTGGAGGCAGTACTCCAGGTGAGGTCTCACCAGCTCAGGGTAGAGGGGAAGAATCACCTCCCTCAACCTTCTGGCCCCATTTCCTTAAATGCACCCCAGTATATGGTTGGCTTTCTGGGCTGTGAGGACATACTGCTCACATATGTCCAGCTTCCAGTCCACCAGTACCCCCAACTTCTTTTCTTGTATTGATAATGGGGTGACCATGACCTAGGTGCAAGACCTTTCACTCGGATTTGTTGAATCTCATGAGGTACTCCTGGGCCCACTCCTCACATGTATCTAGGTTTCTCTGGACAACATCCCATCCCTCAGTTGTGTCAGCCACACCACTCAGCTTGGTGTCATCTGCAAACTTCCTGAGGATGCACTCGATCCCACTGTCAATGTCACTGATAAAGATATTAAACAGCATCAGTCCCTGCAGTGACTTAAGAAAGAATGATGGAACAGAGAACTAAGGAAGAAACATCTGAATGAACACAGCATATCCTAGCACACACTTCTAACACATACATGAAAAAATAACTGTGGAATCAAATAAAAAAATAGAACAATTAAGAAATTCAAATAATGTTGTACATGCCTTACATTATCTTACTAGATTTTTTCAAAAAATTACATGCTATAGGTGTTTTAGCACAATAAATACAAAATTGAATCTATTTTCAATAACTAGAACAGACCTTTTAAAAGTTTGTGTGTACTGTGACACAAAATTGAATATAAAAGAAATCGAGGAAATTAATAACAGAAACAAAAGCCAGTATACTGAGGGAATAAACTTTTACAGGCAACATGAAAAATGAAGGGAAAAAAATTTGCCGTAAAATAATTTTTTAAAGTGTTTTTCATGTGCAGCAAATAAAATTATACTTAAGAGAACAGCATTCATGTGTTTACATGGAATCGAAATCTCTCTGTAACTGGTGAGAGTAGAAGTGCAAAAGCTTCAAAGACTAAAAAGTATCACAAGCATTTGAATTCTACCAAAAGCCTATTTGAACTATTTCAGGTTACTTCTGTTTCTGTAACACTGATCAGGAAATCTTTGAGAAACAGTCTCTTGTGAGAACTTCAGACTTCTTTGGTCAGCTGAAAACACTGAGAAGGCTTACCAAATATCCTCACCACAGGCCTGGGAAGGTCTGAGCCTGGTAAGGTCGATGTTCAAGGAAAATGCTCTACTAGTGACTTTAGTGGTGAGCATTTTAGAAAAGTTCTGCTCACTGTGAGAAAGTTCTTAAAGTATTTTAGTGCTCTATTTTTACATCACTTATTTCAGGTTTGAGTAATTTTTCAGATGAAGATACAAGAAACACAGAATTTTTCAGTTGCTCTTAAAGCTTTTCCATTCTTCACAAATTTAACCTTATGAAGTCACTATACATAAAGTTCCTCAGATTTAATAACACCGAAATCCTGAAGATCATTCTGTAAATCTTTTTCTTGATTTGGTTTGCCAGGTGGATTTTTTTTTGTTGTTAGAAGGTGAAATCAAAGTTGAAATACCTGCAGTGTTTTCCCCTTTCTCTTTGAAGTCAAAACAATAGCTGAACAAATGTATTGGCTTATAGCACAGATGCAGTATGTGACCACTACTAGAACCCACAAGTAAATGGATTACTGAGGAAAAAAATAATCAATTGTCAAATATCATGTTCAAATACAATAATTTCTTTCAGCTACTTCTTTGTGAAAATAAATTGTTTCTTTTCAAATTTATTTTTTTCTCACTAAATCATGTGATGAATTCCATGTCGGGAACTTGGCAAATGCATAACTATCATGTCATTTTACAGCACACATCTTACTTTGTTCAAGTAAGATGCCAGCCCTTGCTTAGGCTTCAGTAGCCGAGTTCTCTACAAGTAACATACAGAAGCAGATTCAGGCAGAATATGCACAGCTGAACCAGTTCATATTTACAGTCCAGCACTGTTGTGGTTGAACTTCAAAAGGGCACATAAAACCAAAGAATTCTATAAGCATAGTGAGGTGAATGATAATTATCTACAACAGTGATTCTAACATTGTAGTCCAGTCAGCAAAGCTCGCAAACCACTTCATGTGGTAGTTCTTCCTGTTGGTTGTTTTGGAATGAGCTGTGCCAGTGACAGATTATACCAGCGGTGTCCTCCTGAGGAATCTCTCCAGGGAAGTTACACTGGCATGAGTTATCCACAGGTTTTGGTGCCCTCATGTAGGGGATCTATGTCCTGCCATGGGACACCCGTTCTGACAATGGTATTGCCTTTGTCATTTCTCCCTGTTTCCTTCACTTCTCTCTTCAGTGTTTTTCTGTAGTTCCTTAAATATGTTTTTATAGAGTTGCCAGAAACTTGCCTAACAAGCTGCAGTTTAGCCCACTGTGAAGCTAGCTGCAGTCGGCTCTTTCAAGTACAGGGCAGTCTCTGACCTCCTTCCTGCTGACCCCTCTCAGGAAGCTGACAGTCTAGAATTGCCATAATTTTCAAATGTAATACAATACACACATAGAAATTTCAACTAGAAGTCACAGTACTCCTGTTGTGGAAGTTCTAATCCATATGACACATCACTGTATTTTCTCATATCTTTAAGGTGTCATAACTACAATAAGAAATAATTTTCTCTGTAGGTTTTGAGGTTTCCATGCACCATTACTATAATGCTGTAAAACTGCCTGGTTTTATTGCTGGCATTATCATAAACAATGCCTAGTCTTCAGAGCATTCAACATTTGAATCACGGACTTCAGATGGAAAAGAATGTTGTACCATGAAGTGAGTGAGAAAGTCTTCCAAGGAACCCTAATTTTAGCAAGAGTTGAATCATGCTTTTCCAAACCTCTGGACCTCTACATTTCTTCTATCACTAAAAATCTCTATAGGGCCTCAAGGAACAGATTGTGATTATTGAAGTATCATTTAACTGGGCTGTTATGTCCTTTGTGTATTTTTATATTAAACCTGACTTTTAAATGGAATATGATTCTACTTTACTCAAAATCTTTGTGGATAGTGATTATTAGTCCTACTCAAAGATACAGTACAGTTTTGATTCAAAGTATTGATTCAAAGGAAGTGAGTATATCCTAGTCTGCATTTTCCTTCATTTCTAAATTTTCTAGGAGATCAGAGTATGTTTACAATATTCCAACTGAACGCTACGAACCAGGAATTTTTGTGTGATTGCCAGAACTAGGTTCCTCTGAGAATAGTTTTTGCAGTCTGTAGACATTCCTGTCTGATACAGTCATAAATAAGAAAGTCTACTTTATACAAATAAGGAAGAATTCCCTGTCATTGTTGACTGTGTTATTTAAAATACATGGAAGGATCATTATTCAAAAATCCTATTTCTATGCTGATCACATTCTTGAACACATACAATTTAAGCCACAATTACATTTAATATGCAGACACAGTCACAGTTTAATATAAATGCACAGCTCTGCAAGGGAAAAGAGAACACAACATTTCCCAGTAGTTGATGTTTAACACTGAGAGAATGGTACAAATTATTGTTATATGATATTATTCTAGTACTGTATGTATTGACTTCCACATTAGAAAAAACTCAATTGTTAATATGGA